CCCCCCCCCCCCCCCCCCCCCTCTCCACGCCGCATTCCAAATTACTTCTTTTTGCTGTCAATCCGCTTGTCTATAAAAACCCCTAGATTGGTACTGGGTGCAATGGACGGAAAAAGTTCAACTGAACTCGTACTTTTAAGCGTATTCCAATTAGAAATATAAGACGACGGTGCAAATTTGTCGTGCTGCAATTCGTTCGAAATCCAGCCTAGTCACTCTGCTGCTGTTCACCAAGAAGTATCACAAGGCCACTGGGAAACCCCTCTCAAGCAGGCCTCTGAAGGTGAGAAAGCAGGCGGATTTGTTCAGATCGTTATTATCGATTTTTCCAAAAAGCAGAGTGCTTCTTAGTGACCACACCCATTCATAAATCTGGAAACTGAACCAAAACAGTATTTTTTATCAGGAAAAAATAATGACTTACCCCAAAAACTCTTCGGTAACTGCGACAAAACGCTAGACATATCCGGATTTTGACGCGGATTTTCCCGTTCCTTCGCTTGTGGTGTCATAAACATACCGCTAGCTGGATTCGATGAAGATGAAGGAAAACTACTGTACGATTTGCCGCTAGGCAGCGAAGCTTCGAAGCGCCTTTCTTCATCAAAACTGACATTTCCACCAAAAACCGAGGTGCTGGATGGATTCGAACCACGACCGAAACCACTTTGTGCAAACGGGCTGGGCTTCCAGGAACTGCTTTGCAAAGCGTCAGAAAACGAGAACTGTGGTAGCTGCTGTTGCTGCGGTAAAGTCGACTGCTGTTTTGACATTTGTATGGCACTTTTTAGGCCTACACCTCCGACACCCGTATATGGAGACGGCAGAGATGGCCTCTCCGGCTCAGGGGCTCCGGGATAGACGTATCCAAGAGGCTGCGGTGATGGCTCCTTCGCTGCTGCAATACCTAAAATTTTTCAAACAAGTGAGAAACTGAAGAGCAAGCCTTCGTGTTTTTGGATATCGCATCAGCAAATTAGAAGATTTTGATGCCCGAAACAGGTCGCAAACTATCAGAGAGCATTAGGGAAAATTGAATGTACGCAACATGCTCGAAACCCGAATAGGTCACCCGAAATGGGTCACAAATTCACACTACCATTAGTTAAAAAAAAGTAAATGAAAAAGCAAACAGTCGAAAAAAAAATCAATTTGGCGGTAAAAAAGGGATCATTTGCTCAGTGGTACCATTATGTCCTTTTATATCAACAGCTAAGCCGACGATGATCAAAGCATACATTACAGTGGGTCAAAATACCCTCCTCCTTTTTCCTTCCTCAGTTTAGAAAGCAGCAGTTGGA